ATGCCCTTTGCCTCCTAGTTCTTTCCTCTATTTCCTTTTACTTTCCTCTTGTCCCACTGTCATGTTCAGCCTTCATTTGGGTTTCAGTAAGTTCTCTCGGTTACATTGTCCTTGATCAGGCCCTCCCAGACATCCTACACCCTCCTCACCATTGATATTAGATCACTTGTTGTTCCCTTGTCCCTGGGCTTGTTAAAAGCCCACTTGGTTTTTTTTATTCCACATAATTTTCTGTTCTGCTGATTTCATATTGTCCATGGGTTTACTTGTCATTTTCTTCATTGCTTTTGTTCTTTTTTAGCATTTATTAAATCTTTGTTTTTCCTTTAGTTAACTTCTTCTTAATTTCAAAACCGTCTGTTCCAACTTGAAATCAGCTTGCCTTGCTCGCCATTTGGGAGGTCTGTAACTGCTCCGTTCCCTCTATTTACTTTGTAATTTTCTTCACTGCAAGTTCTGGTAGCTCTGCTTCCTTATTTTCAATTTGACAGATTTGTTTTGCTTTTGGTATTTCTATGTCACGCATGAGCTCTGAGTGGTGTTGCCATGTATCTTGCTTCCAGGTTGTTGTCTATAGTTGATTCCCTCTCCAAAGAACTTCCCTTAGTACTTATTGTAAGTTTGGTCTGCTTTTTACAAATTATTGTATATCCGTTTACCTGGAAATATCCTAATTTCACTGCCATATTTGAGGAACAGTTTTGCTGGGTGTATGATTCTTGTTTGGCTCTTAAAAAATTATTCTTAAAAATCATTTAATTGGGGGCTCTTACCGGGTTTATTGGTATCAGCTCCTCATTTGTTCTCCCTCCCTCTCCCACCCTCTTGACTCCTTGATAAATTATAAATTATTATTTTCATATCTTACACCATCTGCTGTCTCCCTTCATCCATATTTCTGTTGTCCGTCACCCTGATAGCGGGGGTGGGGTGGGGTGGAGTGGGGTGGGGGTATAAATACATCGATCATTGTAATCGATTCCCCCTTTCTATCCCCACCTTCCCCTTACCCCTCATGGTATCGCTGCTCCCATTATTGTTCCTGGGGGGTTTATCTGTCCTGGATTCCGTGTGTCAACAGCTCTTATCTGTACCAGTGTACTCCAGTCTAGCAGGATTTGTAATGTAGAACTGGCGTCATGATATTGGACAGGGAGGAAGCATTAAAGAACTAGAGGAATGTTGTGTGTTTTGACATGCTGTACTGCACCCTGGCTGAATCATCACTTTCTTGTGACCCTTCTGTAAGGGAATGTCAAATTGCCTACAGAAGGGCTTTGGGGTCTCCACTCTGACCCCCTTCGTTTGCATTGATATAATTATTTATTTTTGATCTTTTGAGACCTGATACCAGATCCCACCAATACCTTGTGATCACACTGGCTGGTGTGCTTCTTCCATGTGGACTGCATTGCTTCCCTGCTAGATGGCTGCTTCCATAATTTCAAGCCTTCTTTATTTTATCTGTAACGTTCTGATTTTTACTCTCTTGGGCCATTGAGGAACCTAATTACCATTCTTTTTCATTCTTTTTCAGGTAGTTCCAATGCATTTACTTTCTGAGAAAGGACTTCTGCCTTTATATATTGGTCACGTGTTTGGGCCGCTCTGTCTTATTGCTTTGTGTGAACTGAAATTGTCTGTTGTCTCCAAGATACTGTGGTGGTGTTATATTTGTATTTATTTGATGGCTTGATGTTGGTGAGACCTTAGGAACTTGTCTCCTGGTGATTGTAATAGAGAATGTGAGTCTATGCGCTGGTTATTTTATTTTTTGTTTTTCACTTAGAACAGGTATTTATTAAGCATATACTATAAGGAATAAGTACTCAATCTGTATTATTTCTAACTTTTACAACAGTATATATGTTTGCTGCTTGTATAATATATTTCAGGGTCAGTTTGGATGTTGTTTTCAGCTCTCCACAAATGATCAGGTGGTACAGGAGTGGATAGTGACTGTCACTCAGTAGGTGTGGCTGCAGGAGATACAGATGTGGCCGTGTGGACCCAGTTTCTGTCTTCTGCAGGGTGGGACAGAGAGAGAGAGAGAAAGTATGGGTTGGCACCCTGTGCCAGCTCAGGAGCTCACCTTCTCGTAGATGGCGAGAGGGAACTGGTTCTAGATTTTGTTCTTGCAGTGTATATGTTGTTTGGGATCAGGCACCTGAACCAGAAGTTCATGCCATCTCAAATGGTAGCTGGAAGCAGGGCAGCTGGTTATGGATGGAGACCCACCCTGACCAAGGGTGGCCAGGGACCCAGTGCTGCCTGTTGTGCTGGTTTGATGAGGGGTAGGACAGTTCAGGTGCTTCCTGACTCAAGAGTGGTATGCCTGGCACCTATCCACCAGGCCATGGCTCTGACCTCAGGTAGAGCAGGGGTAGGGGGGAGTGTCATCCACGATGGGCTGGATGAAGGTTGGGGCTACCCACATTCCTGGTCACCAGGAGAGTGAGGGGAACAAGGGTTTTTAACCACCAGCCGTGGACGTGGCAGACCACTGTCTGCCTGGAACGCTGACTGCTATCGTCCAACGTGGCTGCTTCGGGCTCACCGACAATTTACCCTTCTGCCTCCTCTCTCACTGGGGTTGGTCAGCTTCTTTCCTAGTTAGCATTTAACCCATTGTTCTCATTTCCTCAGAAGCTCAGGGTTCCAGGATTGTCATTTGTATCCGTTTGACTTCACCTCTCATGTCCTGTATGTAAAGCAGTGGTTCTCAACCTTCCCAATGCCGCAAACCTTTCATACAGTTCCTAATGTGGTGGTGACCCCCAACCATCCCATTGGAAATAATGGGTCTTCTGATGGTCTTAGGCGACCCCTGTGAAAGGGTCGTTCGACCCCCAGGTTGAGAACTGGTGTAGAGGATTTATGGAGTGTGTCTGCCTCCATCACTGGAAGTTAAGTTAATAAATGTTTAATGAATTTAAAGAGAAGAAAGATTAGGTACTGGGTCACCCGGGTTTCTGAGTCGCGCAAAATTGGGGGTTCATACATTTTGATTGAGTAAATAGACATATTGGAAATGGAGAAGAATGGATTCTCTAGCTCCGGAGCACATATAGATTTTTCCCCATCGTGACCTAAAAGCTGATGTACTCTCACCTTTAAACAGTTTGAGCGCCCGGGCTTAGGGAAAACGCCCTGTCTTAGGCTTCAGTGCATGTTCCTCATAGACAGGAAAGTAGACTGTCTTCCCCATCCTTCTGTCTCATATCCAGGCTCACGCACGTGTTGTGCTAAGAGTTTCGGGAGAAGGAAGGGTCTGAGTACATTTTTTTGGATTGTCCATTGTTTCTTCTGTGTGAATGCTGCTTCTGCATTTTCTTTTAAGTCAGACCTGTGTCTCCAGCTCCGTTTATGTCCCTCCCACAGTCTTACACTGGTGTGAGCAGTAACAGGTACTCAGGTACCGTGTAGTTACTACTCCAGGTTGTGTCGAGGAAGGACAGTGCCCTCTTATTTACACTAATCCTTTTTTCCTTTCCTTACAGATTTTGATAAGCCTGATTTTAAGAGAAGCATAGTCTGTCTGGAAGATCTCCAGGTTGGGACAGTTCTTACAGGCAAGGTCGAGAATGCCACTTTGTTTGGAGTTTTTGTGGATATAGGGGTGGGGAGAGCAGGCCTGATTCCTATACGAAGTGTCACAGAAGCCAAACTTTCTAAAACGAAGACGAGAAGGAGTCTTGGCCTGGGCCCTGGAGAAAGAGTGGAAGTCCGAGTTGTCCAAATTGATCTCCCCAGGTCAAGGATCACCTTGGACCTCATCCGCGTCCTTTGAGCACCACACCACAGACCAGGGCAGACTGTATTTCTTCATCCCTCCATGTTTACAAGGGTGATCCAGGTGTGGCGGATGAGGGAGAATTCACATAGTAACAGGAAGTACTCTCCAAATCCCTTTCCTTGCTTTTCTTTCTGAGTTCACGGAAAATTAACTGCCTGATTCCTTTTCCCCTTAAAATATTTAATGGCCATCATTATGTGACTTTCTGTACTGATTTTCTGACTTAAGAAAAAAACATTTTTTAATCATTTTATTGGGGGCTCTTAAAACTCTTTTTACAAACCATACATCAATTGTATCCAACATATTCGTACATGGATTCCATTGTTCTTTTCTAGACATTTACTTTCCATTGAGCCCTTGGGATCAGCTCCTCTTTTTTTCCCTCCCCTCCCCCAACCCTCATGGCCCCCTGATAGATTGTAGATTGTTAATTATTTTCAAGTCTCACACCAACCACTGTCTCTCTTCCCCTCTGGTTTCTGTTGTTCTTCCCCCTGGCTGGGGGTGTGTGGTTATGTGCCATTCATTGTGATCCGTGCCCCCACTTTTTTTGTAATTGATCTCTGGCTCTTTTTTACATTTTGTACAGCCAGTTGCTTCACTTCTACTTGCCCACCACTGCCTGCCATCTCTGGACAGAATGGTCCTCTTGATGGGAATTAGACCATGCTTCTCTGACCTTGTGCCATTCTTTCATTTTAGAGACTCCTTTTTGTTTATTGGACCCTTTGGACTTGCTGCATGATTTTGCGGTAATCTTTATTCTCCCTTATCAAGGAAACCAAAAATATGCCCCCAAAATCCTGATTTGTTTTTAAATGATTGTGTAGCTCAGAGACACGTCTCAGAAGGCACATGTGTCCATCCTTACAATAAAATCGAGTGTCTAATGACTTGTTTTTGCCCTGCTAGTTCAGGGAGCCCCCAGCGCAATCTTGGTTGAAGCAGGTGTGGCCCATGCTCATGCCAACATCATATGAAACAACGGTGCTTTGGGGAAGAGGGACACCCCAGCCTGCGTTAAGAATGGCTTTCTGTGCATACGTTGCCACAGAAGATCGTATTTATTCTTAAGCATCATGACCGAAATTCAAATGGGGTAGAAACGGCCTTCCTAAAGACTGACTACAGGATGTTTACCTTGAACTTTACTGTGTTATAAAGAAATCTCTCTATGGGTTTAAATTGATACTAGCTCATCTAAAGCACAGATGAGAACTTTAAGGGCCAGCGAGCCTAAATCAATGGTGATGAAAAAATAGATCGAGATGGTGAGCATGTGACACAAGTGAAGTATGTACCCTTTGGTGTTGAACTGTTCGCGTATCCATTGTGAGTGGATGTATGTTAGTTGTGTATACTGCCACCAGAAATAAAGTGCTGAAAAAGAACTGAATCCTGTAAATGATTCCTTTTGAAGTTGCATCATATAAATCGTCCAACCAAGAGGAGGAATTTTCAGAAAGGTATTAAATAATGAAGCAGAAAAGACAAGCCCCGTGTATTGATCAAACACGCTAGGGCCAGAAAGGATGAGGGCAGAGGGTGGAGGTTAAACTTATTTTTAGATTCCAGAAGCTAGTCTTCCTCTTCCTACTGGCTATTCCAATTTGGACTCACTCTCCTTGGACACATCATCAGAAAGGGCCAGTGAAAATGAGGGAAACCCTCCATTAGGTGGACTGACAATGGCCGCAAATGCCCTCGGGCCCATGGACCAGAAGTGCTGCCTGACAGTGCATTGCAGGGTGACTACTGCATTGCTAAGTAGGTCAAAATGTGATGCCTTGTCTGCTGTTTTAGCAATTGGTTTTTGTTTTTTTCTGTTTCATTGTTTTGGGGCCATTTGTTTGTATTCTCTTTAGATTTTTGTATGACTTTCGGTATATGAAACCCAGACTAGGCAAACCAATAGAGACAACAACTGGATCAGTAGATTCAAGGGGACGTGACAGGGGAGGCTGTCAGGAAATGAAGAGCCAACAGCCAGGATGAGGAAGAAGAAATGTCCTGGAATCAACTATAATGATTGTTGCACAATTGTTGTGGATGTGATTGAACAATTGCAATATATGATAAGTGAATAGCAAGATTGCGTTGTCCCCTACAGAAGAGTGCATTGAAGTCCACTCTGGTACCCGTGGCTCTGGCCTCATTTGGAAATAGGGTCTTTGAAGATGTTGGTTGTTAACTGGAGAAGGGTGAGTCCTAATCCAATCTGGGTGGTGCCCTTAGAAAAGACAAAAGACGGAGAGACAGGGGAAAGGTACCCGTGAAGATGCATCCACCTGCCAAGGCCTGCATGGAGCTACCAGCACCAGGCCCAGAAAGGGTCTTCCCTGAAGCCTTCCGAAACAGGCTGGCATCCTGGGTTCAGACTCCTAGCCTCTAGAACTATGAGACAATACATGTATGTTCTTACGTTAATTATTTACCTAAAAGAATATAGATCAAATTAGAAATAGCAAGTCAGTAAAGCAAGTGACGTCTAACAATATGTTTACTCAGTGGAGAGAATAAGTATTAGCATAGTCATTCGGGATCATGATATTGAAATGAGACACCTCTCCACACATACATTGAACTAGTGTCTTGTCCATTCTAAGGTCTATTGTTGATTCGCCTAATGCATCATTTGCATGACTGAAGACATACCTACTCATGTCCCAGCATGCTTATTCATAGTGCCTCTTTATTCTCAAAGTGCCCATTTTGGATGACAGATCACATGGTGTGTTAGGATAGATTAGAGAAACAAATCCAGAGACATTCATATGTGTGTAAGAGAGAACTTTATATCAAAGAGCAATTGCACTTTAAGGAAACAGCCCAGCCCAGATCAAGTCTCTAAGTTCAATATTACCCCATATGTAAAAACTAGTCCATATATTCATCTTTAGACTCACACAGCCATGCAATGATGCTGAATGCAAGAAGATCACAGGCCAGTGGCTGGAAAGTCTTACAGATCCAGTGGTCGTTGAAGCATCTCAGCGCTGGTGTGGGTCTCATGGTTCCTGCAGCTCTAGGGCTATAGCTCTCTCAGCTTGTCATCAGAAGTACAAAGCTGAGAGAATAGGCCTGGCCTCCGGTGAGCTATTTTTCTCCATTGCACCACCAAATGAGGTCTCAAGCTGTGACCTGGTGGGCGGGCTAGACTTCATCCCTTCCTCAATTTGTCACTGCCACGCATGGCTTTTCCAGTATTGTTAGGCACTTAGAAAATACACACTCTGAGACCACTAACATATGGTGCTGAGTGAAGCAAGGCAATCCCCAAAGGCCAACTAGACCATCTCACTAATAGGAAATCCCTAGAGTAGGCAGATACAAGGGGGACTTCAAAAAGTTTGTGGAGAAATTCCATTATCAACATTTGTTCATGAGCTTTTTAAAGCCCTTTCGTAAACCAACGTATGATTGTATTAGTAGAACTGGGGGTGGGGGTGGGGGAATACACATCAGGAGAATCATTGTTAGGAAGCTTGAGTTTCTCTTTATGGTGGTGGAAAATTGGGCAATGGATACAAGACCCCCAAAAAAGTAACAAGTCCTGTTTTTTACTTCAACTGATTAGGGACTTTAATGTGGGACTTTAAGCTGATCTGCCAATTCTCTTTTCTGCATGTTTTTAACATCCCTGGTTCATAACTTGTAGATAGTGATGAGCCGTGTGTGCCTGCAGTGTCTGAGGTATAATTCCAAACTCATCCTTTGGGAAAGAGGCCTTCTCCAAGGACACTGGATGCAGGAGCCTGCGCAGCTGATCGTGGGAAGCAGCTCTGTTAACCACACAAGGAAACCTCCTCGACAAGGAGGTTCATGTTATCCAGCCCCAACCTGATGGAGGCTCTCCACGGCCTGGCGGGGAGGAAAGGACCATTTCTCATACTCTCTACTTACCCTCATTCGTGTTCTTCTGCCGTATGGCTTTGGGAACTGGCCTTTTTACTCCTCTCTCCTTCCTTTCTCACCTGTTTCAAGTGAAATAACGATGGTGAAGCAAGCATTCAGTCCTGCACCATCTATTGGCAGCCTCCTCTGCCAGCATTGTGCTAGACAGAGGCAACACAGTAGCAATAGAGAAGTAGACCTGCTCTCTGCCTTGAGGAGGCTAATTGGCCAGTGTAGAAGAAAGACTCAAAGAATCACATAAGACGTAAAATGACAACCACTGTAAGCAACACAATGATGGATGCATATCATGGACTGCCCTACTCAAAAGGAGCCTCAAAGCATCAGAATCGACTGGAAGGCCCATGGAGTTAGAAATTCAGAAAAGGTTTCAGTGGGGTTAGAACTGAGATGTGAAAGATGAGCAGAAGATTAAAAATTTCTTTTAATTTAAGTTGTGTCAGATAAATTGGGAAGGGCAAATGCCTCTTGGGAGTGGGTTTGAGAGAGAAAGGAAAGAGCTGGAGATAGAAGATAAGTTCTTGCAGGGAATTTGGCTAAAGGAAGAAGAGAAGCAGCCCAGTGGCTGGAAGAGGAGGAGAAAGTTCTTGGTTTTGTTCTAAAGACAGGAGAGGTTTGTCTAAGACCAGAGCATAAAGATAGTGTTAGCAGGGTAAACCGAATACATAGTGACATAGGAGGGGGTACTCCCTCCCCAAGCTATGTATTTAATTTTTTTTTAACAAAACAACCGTATCATCTTCAAAGTACTCTCCTTTACACTTAATACATTTGTCAAATCTGCTATTCCATTCTTGGAGACATTCAAACTCATCCGTTTGGGTGGCTGACAGCACCTCCCTTACTTTTTTTTCACCTCTTCTGTGTCATCAAATCGCTGTCCTTTCATATCCCTCTTCATTCAAGGAACCAAAAAGAAGTCCCAGGGAGCAAGGTCAGGTGAGTAAGGTGTGTGGGGCAAGAGAGGCATGCTGGTTTTTTTTTTGCCAAAAACTGGTGCACTGAGATGCCTGTGTGAGCAGGTGCATGGTTGTGGTAGCAAAACAAGTTGCCTGTCTGCCACAAATCAGGCCTTTCTTGTCGCACACTGTAAGGCAATCTTTTCAGAACCTCCAACTAGATTAACAGTCTGACCCGGTACAACAAACTCCAAATGCACTATGAGTTGACAGTTTTGTCCGTTTGGGAAGTTGATGGATAACCAGAATGAGGTTGGTTATCGTCAATCGACATTTCACCTTTTTTGAAATGAGAAAACCACTCATACACTTGAGTTTCTCCCATAGCGCTGCCCTTGTAAACTGTGTTCAACATCACAACAGTTTCTGCGGCTTTTTTCCTGAGCAGGAAACAAAATTTCACAGCTGCACACTGTACTTT